TGGCCAAATTTCACAGATATTTACAAAACAAAACGAAACGCACTGCAATGCATTCGGTCCTAGTGCGTAATCAGATATCATAGCAACATTATAAATGGCATATGTTGGCGAAGGTCAAACGGGCTTTTTCTACTCGTTAAGAGCACTTATCGGTTACTAACCCGCTGGGGTTAATTGGACTTTCAGAGTAAGCGAATGAGTGAAAGCGCTCAATAACTTCACTCTTTATTGTTCGATGACACACCAACGTACATGAGTTCAGGAGCAACAATTCGCGTTTGGGTGGGAAGAGACTCATCCAAAACATTCTCAAATTGCTACTTAAGGCGTCCGGAAGACTTTACACTTCACCTAATAGGAGTATTATCTGCGTACTATAGGCCTATGATACTTCCAATATTTGTACACCATAAGAATGTCTGTGGAAAAATTAATTTGGAACGGAAAGAGTAAACATCCTTGGCAGTAACAACTCGACGTTGCACAAGTCGCCACAGGTTCTCACACATTCACGGGTTTTTGAGTACAGAGTGGAGTTACTGATCTAGCCGGCATCTCATTCTGTGAGATATACTGCCGTAAGACCACTAGATTGATAAAGTCAAATGACATCACATCTAGAAATACAGCTGTCAGTCTCCAGTAAGTGTATCTGTGCTCCAAGACCTAGCAGAGGGTGAATATCTGACAGGTCAGGTCTAGAACCTACTTGGTTTTCTCAGATTTGATGTCCCAGAGCTTAACTTAGGTTTCATATGATCATAGGACCAAGGTGTATTCGTTAGACTCATCTCTTTATAGTCTCTCCCACTTGAAAATTGAAAAAACAACCCCCTGAGAACAGATGGAACGGACCATATCTCAATCCTAAACCCAAGGTAACACTTCAGTTGACATAAGTGACATGAAATAACGCTGCACAACGGGATAGGCGGTGACTAGCAGTACGTAACATTCATGTCGGTTAATCTAGTTATCTTGGCCTTAAGGCTGTATTACGTTCATACAGGTTGTGACTTCTATTGCAACACCAAAATAATTTTCTAACTAATCAACCTAAAATCAATTATTAAATCTCTGAAAAACCTCCAGATGAAATTAATCTAGCGATCATTGGTGACCAGCTTTGAGAGGCTATTCCCGAAGTTCCAATGGGAAGTCGTGACCATTGGAGTCAACCAAGTCGAACAAAAGGACAGTCACTCAACAACGACATTGGATTTAGCTCGCGATATACCGTGGACTGACGGAAGTAGGAAATAGGACCATTCGATTTTGACCCAGTGGATCAGTGGTAACGTACTGATCACGGAACTTTAAGGTCCTGGGTTTTGATCCCAGGTGGGGTCATGAGTGCGCACTGCTGAGGAGTTCAGTGCTCCCACGTCTCCAATGTTCCTCCAACTGATATCGGTCCATGATGAATTTCAACTTATGATCAGATAACAGTTCAAATTCATCTCGCATTGAGTTATTGTGGCAAAAGTAAATATCGATGTTTGCTTTTTCAAAATATAGTTGACGTCGGTAACAACCATTTACTGTAGTTCCTGCATAAATCTTATACTGAATTATAATCGGCAAGCCTATCGAACAAATAACTTGAAAGCATCAGTTAAAATGATGAAGTATAGAGGCATAGTAAAAGACAATCTTATGTTGCTCCGTTGCATGCAATGCGGGAAAACACTATCAGAAAGAAGTGGAAAATGTAGCGTACGCAACTCTGACTGGCTGACTGATAAAATCAAGGAAAAACTTCGCACAAAGGTGCACTGATTCAAGTTACCACAATTCACAGTAGTGCACAAAGAACAGGTAGATGGAAAGAGTGATATCAGAATAGACAAAGTTATGTGAGAGAATAAACAATCTGAAGACAAAGGTTGTGTGAATATTCAAGCTTTAAATGTTAAGGAGTGAATACATCTACGCCACTGTGACTGATTTTCCGCCAATGATTTCTTTCGTCTCCCTACACGGTTCAAACCAACAATAACAGATTTCATCAACTAGTACCACATCACTTATTTGATAGTGACTAACAATGGAACCCGCGATATGCGTTTCATCCGACCTGAGGATTGTCAGGTGGGTGAACTTGCTTCTCAATACTCCTCTCCCTCCAAAATACGAACTGGGCACCTAACGCTACAAACACTAGATTGTTATTCACTAGGCTTATCTTGTTCAACATTTACCACTTGCTAGTGGAATTCTCAACAGACTAATTCTAATTAAACAATTTACTCCTATGAATCAACGACGGGAAAGATCAAAGATAGTCATAAGTAGGAACACTAGTACTCATTGGGAATCAAGTTTAGTCAGATAGCCAGATGAAAAGAGGACGAAATATACGTGGGATTTCACAGCCAGCCATCAACGTATACATAACCACGATATGATGACAGACTGCATCAAAGGATTCATAAGAGCCCGTGAGTTAACAAAAACTGATCAATCTAATACTGAAAATCAACACCTTGCAATCATCCGTTCAAAACTCAAGATCTGATCGCGGGCGTTTCATCATCAGGTTTTATGATATAACCATCAGTAAATTCGTCAGAATTGAAGAATGTTTACAAGTAGCTTTAATTTGATCCACATGAGCACCTGTACGAGTTATCAAATACAGTACCTACTCATCAATGGAATACTTGGTTTGAATTGACCTATTTTAAAGACACTCGAAACTAGATTGGAAGAAAATGTCGCCACCTTAATTTTAACAGAGTGACGGTAGGGTCACTCTACTGTTTCAAACAGTGCCACTATAGAAGGCACCAGTAGCCGCAATCGAAAAGCATCAGTTCAGTCAATCACAGATAATTACTTTGGACACAGGAGTAAACTTAACATTCATTCAATCGGACATCTTTAAAAACACTTGTTTATAAAAATGTCTAGTTTCGATATTTGATCAAACCACTGAACATATGAAAAAGCTAGCATTCTCAAAAGTGCTGATTCACAATCTTGAATAGAAATGACAGTCAAATGAAACCCAATCATACAATTCCACCAAATGACTCAGATAATAATGTATGTAACTCGACTGGTACCAGTGGCGAAGGTCAGACTATAAGTCGAAAAGCTGTACGGTACACCATTCACCATTCACCGGATAAAATGATCTAAGCAACAGAAAACCAATTTACTTCCTAACCCCTGAACTTATCAAGTGTAGACTGGATTTACACAACCCGAGCAATCGGATTGACTGAAATATCTCGAACTGACTAACAGCTACTGGTAATCGGTATGAGTAAATTACCATCACTAATGTCATCATTGAGCAGTATACATAGTTCTTGATGATATGGGTACAAATTCGCATTCCCATTACCACTAAACATGGTTAGTTATTTGGCATTCACATACAAAAATAAAACCATTAGAAAATACGATTCAACATGCAGATTAAATCAGGGAAACTTAAGTTTGTTTAACATCTCATTCACTTTATACACATTAATGTTACATGTTTTAAATGAAGAACCAAGCAGAATATTAATGATGATGTCCAAGTTAGAATTCCGTTAACTGAGTTAATGGAAACTACTGAACACCGAAAATATTTTCTCAAAACTGGAAATTTATGATGTCTATCCATTCGTACACTATTATAATAAGATTAGACAGGGAAATGAAACTATTTGATTATTAATAGGATGAAGAGTGATAAGTATCTAATTATGAAACTAGTAATTTTCCACACTTTGCTAGCAAATAAAATTGAGTCCCCATCAAATGAAAACGAGTAGTTGAACGCTATTAACACTCATGAGTAAATAATTCTACCAGTTGCATCCATCATTTAGTCATTCATCGGAAGTTCAACTCATTTTTGACATGACCTCAACATATGTGTACCAAAGTGATTTCAGCTAAAAATGCCACACGGTCATTTGTTTCTATCTACTCTAAGAAATCGTACCTATCCTTTTCTACCTCAAAGTAAAGTGCGTGGGGGGGGTTGGCGTTGAAAAACTTCACCTTCAAAAAAATCAAAATACAATTTAGTTTCTCTATGTGAACTAACAAATATATCCGCTCCTCAGACAAACTAGTAGGTGGGGGAATTTAGACCAGATACCATATTTTGAAAATTAAGCCCTACGTCGACTGATCCACAGGTCAATTCGGCACCTGGAGGATTTTTTGTCACATGATTATCACTTCCTATCCATAACATAACTGTGATTGGAAGAAAACACACCTGTGGATAACTTGTCCATCATCTAGGCGGGTTTTAAAAGAGAATTTTTGAACAAGTAAATTTCAGTGAATATTTTGTTAAACCTTGATATAAACCACAATTTATTCGGCAGGGTCCAGAAACAATCCATACACAAATCAAAGATGCTTTCAGAAAAATCATATATATAGCTACACATTTCACGAAGTGATACTTAAACGCACAATGTCTGTCGAACAAATTCCAATGATATTTCCGTGAACAGTGAGATCCTATAGTTCCTTATACCATGATTGTGGTCCTAGCACACACTTCTCTAGTCGTCACCGTCAGTACTGACCCTACGACCTACCCTTATGCAACCCGCTAACGATACAAGATGCCTTCATAATCACACGCTGAAATTTCATTTCTGCAATAAAACCCAGTGGACCGTAACAAAACGCTGAACATTCTTTCTGGGTCAGAAATTGATAAATAGCAATAAAACACCATCGTTTGTTATTTTCAACATAGTCACTGCGTAAATCGTCCGTGACTTACTACAATGGCTTCTAAAAATTCTAACAACCGAAGTTAGATGACTAACAGAGTCAAAGACAACAACTACAGTAAAGCAATTAGAAAATATCAGTAAAAAAAGTGAGATCAGGTGATGAAAAATAAACACACCCATGACAATAAAGTGTTCAGCGAGAAAAGCGGTGAGTATATCTCCACCACTGTTTTAAAGCCATTTCATTTAACGGTTTACAAGAACAAGATTGGACTAGTCATCAAATTCCAATCGGAAAACCTATAAACGCACCTCATGGACTATTGCAATTTCTAATCTGATCAATCTGAAAATTCCTTCACCCTCACTTTCAATACGGTCAATATTATTATCAGAGAAATCAGTGACTACGTACACAAGTAATACACATAACCCACCTCAGTCGACACTTCATTTATTATCACAACGTATATATATATATATATATATATATATATATATATATATATATATATATATATATATATATATATATATATATACGGTCAATATTATTATCAGAGAAATCAGTGACTACGTACACAAGTAATACACATAACCCACCTCAGTCGACACTTCATTTATTATCACAACGTATATATATATATATATATATATATATATATATATATATATATATACTGGTAACCTGTGATGTTAAGTTTATCATAATTATCATTTACACCGACACCAATATTTCGGATAATCATACTACATAACTACCCATCATTCAATCTAACTCAATAAACCCATTCAGACTCATGTTCTTGGCTGTGAACCACACCTATGTGTATAAAAACTGGTGATATTACTAGAATATCCGAATCGCCCTAGTTGGGGGTTGGATTCATTCACAAAGTCCACTGGTCAAGTCAGGAGTCATAGCTCCTCACACTAACTACATGGAAACAACAGAAATATATTATTAGGCTAATATGTGTGTATGAATAAAAATAACTAAGTATTCAACACATCACTATCATCATCATCATCATCATAAAACTGAGAAAATAGACATAAATAATAGTAATATGCGAAAGAAACACTGACACAGATTAAGAAGAGAGACAAAAAGAAAGAACAATGTAAAGCACTGTGCAAGTTAAGTGATGATAATATAACTTCTTTAAGAGATTACCTGTTATTACCATTATCATTACTATCAATGTTGGCTTTTTTAAGTAGACGAAACACTCGTCTTATCTCGATCCATCTCTCTCCTATTCAGATACCACTATCTCTGTTAGGATGGGACTGGACATGGAGACAGAGGTGTCTGGAGAAAGAAGGGCATCAACACAGCATATCAAACAAAGAAGAAATGGGTCAAGATAACATGAATGTTTCGTTTGCTTCAAAAACACCAACAGTGACGATGATAGTGGTCATAATAATTGATCTCATAAAGAAGTGAAAAAGAGCAAATAAGAAATAAAATACTGTGTACAAGCAAAGAAAATGACTTTTCCTTTGTTAAAAGTTGTAGGATTGACTGACTTGTTTATAATATATGCAGCTTTGTGCGCTGATGTGTAAGCAGATTACTTCTTACTAGTTGACGGAATAAACACAGCTTTTATGTTGGCAATGGGATTAACAGCGGTTGGATTGTTATTAGTGTTACTATTGTCGTTATTACTAGCAGCTGCAGCAGCAGTGGTGGTGTTGGTGGTGGTAAGAGTACCATTATTCCTATCAATGCTACAAACAGCAAGCGTCTTCGTATTATTGTTATTACTGCTACCATTGGTATTATCACTGTTATTAGTGGTAGTAGTAATGGTAGCATTACCGGTATTACTGTTCCCACCATCTGGATTCACCTGACACTGTACAGCAGCTGATCTCAATGAACACAAACAATTACTTTGTGAGGCCAACGCAGCGTTAATACCATCATCGAACCCATCATCACGTTCTTCACTACCTGTCGCTGGTCGAGCAAAATCCCATATCAAGATAGTATCATCATGTGAAGAAGAAACAATCTGGAAATCATCAAACTGTAATCGAAACACACGACCTGTATGCTGTTGAAGAGTGTGGATACATAGTTGGTTCGGTTTGGAACGAGGATTAAGAGCAGCTTTCAGATTCCAAACCTTGATTTTCCTATATGACAAATAAAAATTTTAAAAACTAAGAGTTACCTAGTGACAGCAATTCTACACTTAAACAAAAACCTTCAATAAACTATGAATACCACTGAGTCGAAACCTGTATGTTATATAGTATGCTACCATCAATTTAAAGCAAAGTAAATCTGTGGATTTAAACAAAGCATCAAGTGACAAGACAACGCAAGATGCAACAAAAGCAATACTCATCACAAGATGATGAAAACTTATATTTTAGGGATTCACATTAGCTTGCTTGTTTTAAGAAAAATTCCGCTATAAAAAATGTAAATGACGGTTTACAAACTTTACTGATTCGATGAGTTTCACTGTACAGTCGTTTTCTACATCAATAGTCAGCCCAAACGTATTTATAACCACGTTAGCTGCATGGTTCCCAATCCAAACGCTATCAACGTCATATTCAGGCATATAAAAAGAAAATTATTCACTTAAACTAGTTGAATACTAAACATACTAAGCAATTATGTGCTTCAAACAATTCGATATAAAAATATTATTTTTCAGTTAAGATAATACTGATATAAAATCACTGCAACCAGTGAAGTTACCTAGTTTTAAACGGTAATTAACCTCATTGAATGTCAACCTATGAGCTAATTACTATTGCATGGAAACAAGAGAAGACAGACAATGACAAGTTTCACCATTCTTTTGAATTGCAAAAAGTGAATTTTGCAGATTCACCAAATTAACCAGATGATGTTTAGTGAGTAACCACACTTCGGACCTGTATGCATGTCTTATAAAACAAGCAAACACCCTAAAGTCCTGATTAATGAAGCTTGTCGGTCGATATGATGAGGTATGGAGACACTGAAAGCTTTAATATGCAACTTGAAGCACAGTTCCAAGAAACTAGAGATGCTGTTTCGAAGACTCGAATGGTTACTAAGGACTGAAGAGGTCGAGAAACAAATGACAGATTACGTAGGAATATTGACCAAATAATGTGAAGAAAGATTACAATGCAAAGATGTTGAAGATTGATGACCCAAGAAGATTTGAGTATTGATAGAGATATGACAGCAGTTGATGCATTCCGGTTGTCTAAACTGTAGGAGGTTTCAAAAACTGGGAGCGCTGAACGCCTTATTTTTCCTACATTGGGACTTCTCAATAATGCATACCCAAAACCGTCCGAGAGAACAAGCGCTCGACTGTCGTGTCTGATGTTGAGCACGTTATCGTTCAGATATGGGCATCAGTTTTTTCCCCTCTGCTATTTCTTGTTCAATGATCTACCGTTCAAAAGTCAGAGCCGTTTAACTGTTACGTACCCCACTCAGTTTGCTACCTGAAGAGCTCAGTTGAACATTTTTTAATTGAAGAGTAAATCAAAGAGTGTTCAAGATCTCTTCCCATATTCAATTTAATCGATGAGCCTAATAGTATTGGGAAACTAAGTCAAACACAGGTTCTTCTTTTCATGAAGCTGCAGCTACTAAGAGATATACAATCTACTTTTATTGAGTCCCCCAAGCTAAATAGTAATTTTGGCGTTATATAACCTGACCTTACTGAGTAGAACAAAAACTTATCGCAAAAACCAACTACTTACTTGTTTTGATAAACTCAACAAAAAATGTCGCTTTCAGATTTCTATAAATTTAATTTACCAACTGTCGATCAAATTAAAAATCCACTACTTAATATTAAGCACTGATACACAAGAACTAACGAGTAAATAAATATTTTACGGTAAATTATAAAATCTGAGTCTGCTTTCAACACTATATCAAGTCGTTGTATTTTACTTACCATTATCCATCCAAAGAACTCAATAACAAGCATATATGTTCACACTCTGTGGGGTGTGTTGTATGAGGGTGAATAATATTAGTCAATTGACCACCAGCGAATTACTGATCCGTACTCTACCAAACTGGGTCCAGGTTTTCATCCACCTAGGTAATAGCACAAGACCTCAGACAATTGTGGTTCATTGCCTAGTAGGGTTGTGCTGTTGTCAGTACCTATCCACCCAAAACTTGGCACCAATTCATGACCCAAATGCAAAAAGTCAAGTCCATAAACTATTGAGCTAATTATCGACTTGGTTAGTCGAAGACATACTCTCAATGTTGTTATATCAATGTTGGGACTGATCACATCTCAGCACTATCCGCATTGATTGGTGGTTATTGTCGGTAATACAATAATATGCTATTTCAACTTACCTGAGAAAACTGAATTCCAATAGGAAAACCGGATATCCCTATCCATTTAGACAGCTATTCCAATTTAAACTATTTTACGTTTATCTTAGTGACTAGCAGTGGAATCCAAGATACGTGTTTTGTTCTACTCCGGACTCGTCAGCTGGATTTACCAGCACTCCAATGAATGATGTTGTTACCACTGAAATTCGAACCCAGTACCCATCACTTCAAACGCCAAAGCCTTATCTACTAGATCACTGAGGCATGATGGGCACCGCTTGAGCAACGGGTATCAGTTGTTGTTCTGATGCTTGTAATTTTCCGTTGCTATACAGAACCGAATCATTCGGTCTGTTAAAGTATTTTGTTCAGTGGATTACATGTAGCTAACTTTTCAGAGAGATTATGACGAAAAATATAATAGGCAATAAAAATTTCATGCATTGAGCGTAAAAAAACTTTCACTAACCCATCATATGCACCCGATACAATACGCTTAGAATCGAAGCGGATACATCGAACAAGTTCCTCGTGTCCTTCAAGAACTCGGAAACAAACACCAGTTTCAATATCCCAAATTCGAATCGTATTATCTGAACTACCAGAGACAACCAAACGGTCCCGATACTGTAAACATGCAATGCCTCGGCGATGACCTGTCAATGTACGCACATATGCGCAAGTATCTGTAGCCCAAACCTGAAGTAAAGCAATGAGAGAAAAAAGTATTTGAGATAACTGACTGAAGACGTGGTACAAAATAAAACGAAAATAGTATTACATGTATACAACTATAAATGATAAATTCATGATAAGTAAAATTACTCACTTTTATTGTACGATCGCCACTGGCTGAAACAATATACTTATCATCGAAATCAACAACATTAACAGCAGCTCGATGTCCAACAAGAACTTGGCGCAACTGAACATCTTTTGGCCAAGGGCCCATATCCCATACTGCAATGCTACGATCCTAAAATTAATAAGAACGAGACTATAGGACACTATCTAAGACAAAAATATTATTCATATACGAAACATTACAATAACGATAAATAATTCTCTTCATAAAATCCGTATGCAATCACTAATACATACATATTTGCCAAACTACTCGACGTATGATTAATGATTCACAGTAAGCAATCTATGCAAGGGTACATACAAATTTACGCAAATCTTCAATTGATAATTCACCAACTATTGGGTTTATCTGCACACTCCTGTTCCGATGTCGTGTAGAGTTGAACTTATACTGAAGTATACAGTGAACAAATGGTAAACTTGTGATCGACACTGAATAGATATACGTTAGGTAACAACAGCCGACAACTTTTAATTCGACTGCAGTAGGAATACAGCAGGACAATGACGATAACCATAAACTATTTCATCTAACGAAGGATTTTAGGCAAAGACTGAAAAATATAGGAGTTTGCGTACAGAAGTGCATCACTTCAAAAATGCTGCACTTCAGAGCAGCATACATTAGAAATTGGAAAAAAAAAGATACTGTCGTCGATAAAAGTGTGAGAAAGAAGTCAATGAAGGTTAGTAAAAGTGTTCAGACTTTCGAAGATGTCACACAGTGAATTCAACAGCGCCATTAGCATCAATTTTCAGTCACGTTACCGAACTTTTCCAACCGTTGGTTTATTTTATGTCGAGAATCCCAGACAGGTAGTCCACTCTTCCCTACTCAGTTCTGACCAACAATCAAAAATTCCATGAACTAATACCACGTCTTAGCCTGGTCATCCTTACCCTTATTCCAACCCGTTCCTATTTCACTTTACTTTGCACGTTTGGGTAGGCAGTCGCTCTGCATACAGAACTCGTGTCTAAGCCACCATGCTAGGTGAAGGTTGACAACTTCATTGGCTGACTTGCCTTCCTTACCCTGTATCGTCTGTTTGACATTGGCATTAATCACACAACAGTCCCACCACACGTGAGAAAAGATAAATGTGGTCAAAAGCCTGTAACATCATCGTATCTACTTTCGACAGCCATTTCTCACTGCTGTATGATAGGTAGGACAGGTTAAACTGCAGAGATGTATATCCGTTCTTTATTAGGTAGTCGTATGTTTCGTCGGCACCAGAGATGACACTTCTATAAATGTCAAGCGAACCTATTGTATCCAAGCTGAGGGATCATCAACAACCAAACTATTGGGGCTGTTGTAGCTTCCTAGGTCACTGAAGTGGTCAAAGCATTCAACCCGTTGACCGCCTGTCATTAAGCTAGGATTCAGTACAGTCCTGAAGAACCACCTTACATTCAGCAGGTGTCAAACGCATGTTAAACATACTATTTCCGTACAGGATGTTCAGCAAACTATGCATTTTGTCAGCGTCTTCACCTGACGAGAGGATGTCGTCTGTGTACTTGAAGTCAACCAGATGTCCTCCTGGGAGTTAAAACTTTTAGAGCTGGAGGTACCTAGGGTTACGTCTATTAGCGCATATATAACAAACTTAAACAAAAACGGAGACAGCGAGCATGATTGACGGACACCACTGATTGTCGACACTTGACATGACAACTTCACAATAGTCCTTGCTTGACTGCATGAGTTCTTGCGGAAAGCTTTGATTACCATAATATACTTGTTAAATACTCCTTTCACAGTCAAGCATTGTCACAACACCTCTATGTCAACAGAGTAGAATACCTTCCTCAGATCGAAAAAAATATCGAGTGTGAAACACGTAATGCAGTGTGGGTTTCTTAGTTTAGAATTTAAATTCCCTGATTAAATCAAAATTTAACTGCGAAACACTTATAATGGTTCCATGATTGATGTGGCTTTTCAAATTGATCTTATCCCCAGAAGGACTGATCAAATGACTGTTCAATGTTGAACGACAGAGAAATTCCTGGGAGTGGAGCTTGGAGTTAAAAAGTAAAACTGGGAAACGCTGGTCATCGGGTCCTGATCGAGATTAGATCCGTAAAGCTTTTTTACTTATGTTCAAACATACCACTAAGTCACAAACTAAGCCAAAAAAAAGCTGATCATGTTTACTTGTTTTTCAGTGGTCTTTGAAAAGACGCCATCCCTTGATGAAAACCATCTTTGAAAGATGCTAGACAACGCAAAAGTGAGACAAATAAATGCAAATTATACGATAAATCGCTCACTTTTGAACATGTTACAAGGACATTATTTCGAAATCTCAGGTGTAGGACAGCTTCTGCATGATGATTTATAACATTTAAACAACACCCAGTAGATAAATCCCATAAACGAACAGTCGTATCACTGGAGCCACTAATCAATAAATTCCCAATGTATTGCAAACATAACACAGAACCAGAATGACCTTCAAGAACCTTGGTTGCAAAATTGAAAACAAATCAGAAGGTAACTAATTAGGAAAAATTACTCTCAGGAATTACCCATGATGGTTGCATTTCCTAATTAACAAATCTAACTGTTATCATTTGCTTCAAAAGATTAAATAAAAAGAACAGGAAGCTGTAATTATGTGTGTATGCAAGCTAAATGTGACGTTGTAGTTTAGGCGCTCAAATGACAGTCACTGATTCACGGATTGGTAACTTAAGGAATCTATTAAGGTATTCAAGTAGTAACATTAGCCATGCATACAGAATAGATATGGCTCACTAATTTGCACATTAAATTGTACGCGGCTGGTGAATTATTTATTATATACGATAATGTAGCCTTTTATTTAAAAAACTGCTTCCAATGTAAAAGTTTAACCCGCCATAGAAGTCTCACGTTTCCTAATAGACTATAAGTAGCACATATATATATCGCTATCCAGTGAAATCGAACTCATAAAACTCACGCTGGCGTCCCTGTAGCCAAATACATAATCTCAGTAAGAGTGCAAAGTGGATACTTGAGTAGAGTATAGTTCCCCGATTATTCGACAGATGTAATATACAGAAGTGGGGTACTATATAATGAGTTACGTTTCAAAAACACTTTATTATTCGTAAATATATCAGTGATTTTTTAAGAGTAAAATCAAGTTTTGACATTCTTCAGTTCCGATGACAAGGGAAGTTTAAAAGATCTGAAAAATGCATCGAGTCATTCTTACTACTTATGCTATATATCACTTCGACGAACTATTATTCAATCATCCATATATAACACCGACCTATATATGTTCATCTTTAGGACAACAACTGTCGTGTTCTACCATCCGTCCGCAAACAAACAGTAGTCTTGGAGGGTTAAATTTCATCAAGTTTCCAGGCTCCTGTAACACACTTGATACTGATCGATTGTTTTGTCATATCTGACCTCACAGTAATCGGTTTTGTTTTGCTTGATTCGGTCAATTAGATACTTTGTTTGAGTGTTGCAAGAGTAAGTACTACCTTAATCTGATTTAATGAAAACTCTACATAAAACTTCGAATTTTCCTTATTTGTAGGGAAACGTAGTAGATATCCTGCATTCTCTTTGATATGACTTTTCCCTTTCTTATAAATGAAATGATAAATAATGCAACTCAACGCTTTACATATGTTTACAGAATAAGCTGAGGCACACGTATTTTGTGAGAACTCTTGATACAATCGAAAGAAAGAGGAGACAGGTTTGAATTCGAGACCCGTTGGTTAGAAAACAAATGATCAAGTCAATAAGCAGTAGGTTCACGCTTTCTTAATAGGCTTTTACTAACTTCTGAATAAGTTCTGGAGATAAGCTTATGGGTACTAGTATTCCCTGGAAACGTTTTATTTCTTTATTCATCTTAATAGTCAGACATTATAAGACACCTTGCTCTTTTTGATCGTCATCGAATTCTTACGTCAAACGAATGGCAGTACTACCAGGTTTCCTGGTCGAAACAGATTTCGATCGCAAAATACCACCTTTAGTGATACAGTTTTACGAACTGGTTACATTCACACTGAATATACTTGACTTAGTATTACTCAATGGTTTTAGTATAAATTGTCCGTCTCGACAAAAATCTATATTCGTCTGTATATAACAGTGGTTGCTAATGGTTTGACAGGACATACACCAGAATTATACAGGTCCTTAACTCCAATAAGCTTAGGACAGCTACGCGGATAGGAAATACAACGTACAAAGATGCTCATGATACAGAGTTTAAGATGGAAAAAATAAGTTGGCACTCTGAACCTGATGGACTTTAATGAGCGCATTTTGCACAAAAAGTGTGCACAAAGATAAGAAACGAGACTATGATAATTTTCTGAAGGGCGGTAATAAAATGGATAGTCTTGTTACAAAAAATGTCATATTAGAAATGTACTAAAGCGTAATACGTCGTAACGGCAACTTTAGTAGATGAATGTAGTCAACACTATCAAAAGTTAAGAAGGAACGGAAAAAAGGACTACTACAGGAAGCAAATTCTATTGTGCGACTACACATATAAATACTATTTCAACAAAAGTAAACACTAACAACTTACTTGTGTACAATGGTATCCATCGGAGCACGTTGCTACATTGAAACCTTCTTCGTTAGGAGCTTCAACACCTGCTGGACCATCACCTCTTCCTCTATTTTTGTGACATGATTCATGTACACCAGATGCTGAATCAGGATTAGGAGTAGAGGAAGTATCAGAGGTAGAGGCTTTGTTTTTATTGATTGTACAAATACTCGGCATTCGTTGCCACACCTTAATTGTGTCATCTCTCAAACCACTGACAATTTTATGCTTGTCATATTGAAGACAATAAACACCTTTTGTGACGTCGCTTCGACAAGGTATTCGAGTTAAATGATACAGACCTCTAGTCCAGTTATCTTCTACACGCTGTTAAAAGTAAACAATTTACGGACAGAAAACAAGAAAATTAAGCTATTGGGCATAGAAAAGTGTCACAGTTATTACATTTAGAGTGAGCAAAGAGGTCCTGATGTAAAACCAACAATCAAGAACATGTCAGACTCGGTAAAAATATCATGTTGCGAAGTACCTCACTGTATTCACTTAATAACAAAAACGAAACGCACTCAGCCAACTTGTTTACATCTGTGCAGTAGGCAGTGAGCCACATTTATTGTGTGAGGGTTAGTGACACTACCTGGCTACCTAAACCTCAGTAAGTGGAGCGGGGCTCGAGCCCGTAACCCACTGGTTGATAGTCATCCCTCTAGGCCGCTGAGCTATAGCTCCGCTTAAGAATACTAAGCAAGTTACTGAAAGAGATAAGTGTTGAGTTTGCCAAAGTATGTGGTGATATTGATAGATTTTACTGTACATTTAAGGTTAAGTAGCGTGGTCTATTAGCATACTGAATTCAATCCAAGAGATGTGAGTCATGTAGTACGCAATGAGGCTTATTCGTTGCTTCAGCACTGCTGTCATGTTATGCACACAGAGAGGGAGAGAGAGTTTGAACCTAAAATCTAAAAGCTGAAACCATAGAGTTCACACTGCGAAGCCGAATAACTCCAAGACTGGAACGATTCGGAACCACTGTGAGAAACATCCCCGAAATAAAACTCAGTAACAAAAAACCCATGAGTTGAATGAAGTATTACAATGTTGGATGGGAATTTATCACACCGCTTTGCTGGAAATTGAATAATTACCAAGGTTTTTGGCTGAAGTATATAAGGTGATGAAAAATAGTAGCTAGGGTCATCATTCAAAAGGTACCGAATGTGTTTAATTTTCATTTTTTTGATGAAATGATGAAAATGACTCATACCTTGCGTAATACAGACCATTTTAAAAGTAACTCACAATGCATACAAGTATATTTCGAGATCTGTAATGACTCTATTTTACGGCCTTCTGTACTGTGAAAGTTGAAAAATCGTTATAAGTGATGAAATGTCTAGATCAAGTCTGTCCATTTGCAACACAAAAAATTCCACTGAAAAAACACAGTCAGATGCAAATCCTTGAACCAGACTTCATGTTTTTGATAATTAATGCTTCACCAAACAATTATGAAGCCTTTTGAAATAATGGAGAATATTTGTAGGTCAGGTGGATGGTCTTGGTTGTATTGTGTTCTCTGAGCTGGACTGTTTAATCGTGAAGCCTTCACCGTCTTGCTAGACGACATCAGCACTGAAGTTAATGCTGATGATGTCGTCTAGCAAGACGATGAAAGCCTCATGATTAAACAACCCAGCTCAGAGAAAACAATACAACCACGATTTATGAAGCTTAATTATGGCACACATGCACTTCAGACATGGATGCAGTTCCACATACTAGGATCCGCACTATATCTTATATATTTATGAAGACGCAAGATACCACCGGACTGCTTAAGTAGAGTAGACAAAATTCGGTTTGAGGTTATGAGCTGATATAGGAAAGTGAATGAGCAGGCCACTAAATTACACGAATCGCGCATACTGATTGCTTGTGTTTATACACTTTTAAAGTAGCATTTATGCCGGCGGAGAAATTTAATGCATCTGATTAAACTGTATAAATGACTGATTTTCCTACGGTTCTCACAGAATGACTTCACTCCTTTCTTATAACCTTGAATGACCAACGACCTACATTAGCCTTACAAGACTATCTCTGATTCCCATACACCAAGTTAGTGTTCCCAACTGCATCTTTAGAAACGTCTTGTGGTAACCCCTTAAGCCTTGCTACTTTGCATTGTTTCAGGTTTCAAAAAGCCTTTTCAACTTCAAGAAAACTTGCAGAAGGGACATCAACACTCCATTTAGGCTCAGGTTGAATGTTGGGGAAGTAAAGTGTGACTGTAGGCCAGCTGAACTGTTTTCCTCAGTTTTCTGTTCAATGTTCTAGTTGCCTGTCATGAAAATTCCCCAAGGATCCATCATTCTCGATGATTGTCTTATATATTATCATCTTCCGAATATAAGTATAAAACTTGGGCACTGTGGTAGAATGTAATTCCATATTAGATTTGTTTATTTGATATATAGCGCACACTGATACACTATTATTTACTTGATTACGTTTCGAGCATAAATTATTGCTCATAATCATATCAATGTAATCACACTTCTTTCGATATCTGATTTTATAGTCCTGTCACCTGATTTTTCTTTGTTTTTTGATTGGTAGTAAAGTTTTCCATGTAATAGGAATGACGCAACACCAAGTATCTTTAATAAACCGAAATAAGCGTCAGGTATTAGCTAGTACTGTTGCCTTTTCCATCTCTTGAGCTTTCGCCACCCACTATTACTAAAGATCATTCCAAAGACTAAGTCAATCCACATTTAAGCTATTCTCGATGCCCATCATGATCAGAGCCAACCGGAACGAATCTTTTCGAAGTAATCAGTTCGGATGAAGCGGAAGAAATACACTGGCCTTTGTTACCCCTTGGATGCAAGTTATTAACTACCTTTATTGCTACTGCTGCAGCAAACTGAATATTAACGAAAGCCTTCATAAGGATGAGAGTTGCTGTCGTGTTCACATACTCAGCTACCTCAGGTACTACACACATTGCCTAACCACCGAACCAAATACCACAGTGGCTAACATATCGACAACAATGAACTCATTTCGGTGAATTATCGTTCTTCAGATAATTCACCGAGTTTCTATAACCTCATGTAATGTTTTCATGCGGTCATCTATGAACTTACCAATGTTATGTCTAAGTCAACAGTACTTTTTTAGACAGATGTATGCCAAGTGTAACCTGGACACTTTGACTGCCAAAATTTGACAAAACTATACGATGATGATAATACTAACAAAGTATATTTAGCATCTACACGTCAATCATTTAATTTGTTGCATGTTTTAGTATCAAAGTAGTACAACCAGGGAAAATTTGATATTCCTTTAGCACTGCTAGCAAGAAAAAAATTACATCTCCATGAAATCATGAAAAGACCAATAAAACTGACGAAGAGTTAATAGTTCACTATGGCTCCAAGACACCGAAAAAGCCGTAAAACTGTTGATTAGAAACCAATCTTTTCGGTAATTTTTCTCTATACAACTGCCTCACTAGTAAATCCAACACTTATGGTGAGAAATCTGAAACATGCTAAAGGAAGATGATTAGATCTATGTCCTAATCATACACTGATATTGAAACATTCTTCGTAGAATTAGAAAGTTATGTCCCATTTTATGGGAAGCTGCTTGCTAGGAGAGGAAAATCTGTACTCGAATACTTATCAACAATCCTACTCAAGACAGAAGTTACGGTAAGGGTAGCAATCAGTACCAAAATGATATACTATGTAACTAATGACACCATGAAAGCGAGATGGGATATCTTCATAGACATCATTTTACTCAACATTGCTGTATCGAGAGAAAATCAAAACGCCATTTGGATCAGAGCTTATGCGTAACCTATAAACATTACTGCACTGTTGCACAAAATACAGATTTCTTTTCTGGAAGATAACACATAATAACGTGTGAATTTCGTTTGTAGGTCAAGGGTTTAGTGTGTGATAGATCAGGATACATAGAAGTGGTGACGGATAAATTAACAACGAAACTCAGTAATAAGATGTAAACTTTTTCACAAAACTGTGAGCGAAACCTAATATGTGGATATGCTGGTGACATAAACTATCCACCTAGAATGTAACAGTAACCATAACGGTCGAAAGTAGAGAGTTCAAACCAACTAGCAACGGGGTAACATCGCTAGACCGTGTTACCAAAAGCGCATCTTAATTCAAATGTAACTATCCTACTTAATAAATGAACAAGTCTAGAGGCGGAATATGAAATTTCAACACAATTATCGCAACCAATCTAACCCATTAGGCATGCAACCCATCTTGGGTGTCAATGGTTCTTGTTATATATGAAGCAAAAGCTGCAAACCCTACAACTTTCCGGCTAATTCTGCATCATATGGCTATGATATCATACTATTCATTTAGAGCACAAACCTAGTATAGCGCAGGCACTACTAAATACGCCACAATATAAATATGTGTTCCTAAGTTTGTATATAAAATATATTAAATTTTTCGAAAAACAGTTAACAGCAAGATAGACTCACCGCAATGTCACGAATTATACGAGGATAAAGTTGTTTATAGAAGCGATGGGCAAACATAACTGTTTCATATGATACTGCATCATGTAAATCTGTTTCCATAGAAAAGGATGAAGTAGTGTTCATGAACCGGTGACTTGATCCTTCATTTGAGTTGTATGAACTTAATGAACAACCTGGTGCACTGGGAGTGTCAGTAGTGGAATCTCTTGAAAACGGGTACTTTGAGTTCTTGATATTTGGGTATTTGAGTCACCAGGATAAACTAAAGCATGTTGGTTGCCTAAGTGACACTGACAAACTAGAGGATATTGCTGATTTGTACTACTAGTTGACTCTAACTTTGGCGAAAGCTTGGAGGCTTCACATTCCATACAAGATCCGCCATCAAGGAATGGGGAGAATTCAGTTAGTTTATGCCTGATCCCTATAGGAACTCGACGCCTTTCAAGTAATGCTGGTAAATAAGCCGGATCGGAATGATCGATAAACTCAATCCACCCTCGACGTTCGCATAGACCATGCCACACTGGATCTGTGGCTACTCGGCGAGCGAGTAAACGACGCCAAAGCTGGTACTTTGCCACACTCCATTGCCATCCTCTGGAAGCAAGTTCAACTGAAAGCAGACTAGATGCATCCAACTGAACTAAAATCATTTCAGCAAGATATGGGACACCACGATCTAAAAGAATATGTTTAAAAAATAGACTTGTAAACAGTAAAAAAATATATTTTAAGTGTGAGTTTATTTTCAGCAAGGCCGATTATGAGTGCCTTAATATACTTTTTCCAAAAACCGTAAGTCCTCAGTAGTCTGATTTCCCTCACCTTTAATAACACTAAAGAGATAAATGCTATACCATGAAAAAAGAACTCCAGTATGCTGGAAATACAGACTAACTATTCACTTGGAGGAAGCGAATATAGCAAATTTGTGTTTAGATATTACATGTATCCTGAATATACTTCTACTAGTGTCTTACAACTACCTGGGGAGAACCAAAGAGGCCACATAACTCTATCACGCGACGTGACCGGATAGTTTGCAATAAAAGGAAACGATCATTTCAGTGAGGATCCCCATTACGTCCTATGTTAACAACTGAGATGATCTTCAATATTTGAAGCAAAAAGAAAACAAATTCTACCGGGTTCAGTCATTGCCTTAATTGTTCCCTATAATATCTATTATTTCCTTAATATCATCACTGTCGTTACCATTAGTATATATTTGTCTTTCTCATTCAACATTTTCTTATTACTACCAATTAACTGTGTAGTGCGACTCAGTACCTTAATGTACCAGGAAAACAAACGGAACACGGGATACAGTGGTGAACAAATTAGTGACCATGAAGTAATGTCGCAATATGGGACAACACCAGTTACGTTTAACTAACACTTAATTCAACCTTAAACACGGAGTTCCAAAAATGACTGATAACCCAAGGTGAGTGTCTGTTTAGAGCCGTGTAGGAAAACTCCGTGCAACTAATTGGAAGAATTAAAAACTGGCAGTAATCATTACCACCAATACGTATATACTACTTCTGAGATGTATCGAACTACGAACTTGAGAAAACTAATCAGATCAAACGAGATACAACCTCAAATTTTCGAGAGGAAATTAAACAACCAATCTGTGTATTCACACATACATACGAACCCTAGTATTCCTTACCACAGACTAACATCAGGTAATTTGAAGAAATAATTCCTAACTACATATATCGTGCTCGATACGTTGGTGTTGAACTATTCAGACGATAACTGGTATCATAACAGGAATGGAATTACTAACCAGAACATTCAACGGACGTTAATTGCTCACTGAATTTAATCGACACATTGGCAAAACATAGACACCAAGCCGAATGACTTCCAGTGTTGGATGGCTGGTGTTTTTGAAGGATGTATTAACCTTTATCAAATAAAATCTTCAAGTTAGTGTGCATACGTGGTGTCGGTCATGTGTATGCACTGCTGATAAGTACCATAATAGGGAGAAAGAGCCTTCCAATGCTCCCAGGCTTTCAACGGTTCTCGAACTGATGTCAGTACGTGATGAATCTTGTAACCAAACAACCCCCACAAACATTCAAACTCAAATAAAACCCTCCTTGTATGCATAAAAAATCTTACTAATTATCCATCGGTCGATAAACTTTAATGCTTGCATAGTCACAAAAGTTGAAAGTTGACTTACTTTGAAGTGCAACAATGAAATCACGTTTAAGGAGAGGTTCCAGGAAGTCATTGATTTGGCTTTGTTGGAAATGTGAAATTTTTGAGAGTAAATGGCAAATAAAATCAACTTGATCCCCACTTGACCAAGAAGTAAATGTATCAATACAATCTTTTTTTGCCATAGAAAGAGATAAACTGTTATTATGCAAACGTTTCTTTTTCTGATCAACAGGCATATTATTATCCGAAGAAGGCTTGGCCCGTTTAATATTAGAAATACAAGTACAATGAACCTAGATTACAAATGTAAAACATGAACATAATACAATGAAAGGAAGACCTTAATTACGTACTTATGTACAAATGAAACTAAAGCAAAACTAAAAATGTGCAACCGTGAGGACTAGTAGGTTCAATATGAAAGTCACATCTGATACTTTTTCATGACTGGATTTTACCTGTCATAATAAGTGTCAAAGTTAACTGGTCGATGTACTTATTCTTTTCGGCTAGACAACAGTGGAGTTGTACACCAGTTTAACAATTAGTCTTGGATAGCAGGTTCATACTTTACTGAGTATGGCTCATAACCTAGTGGATTAATTAACACGGTAAAGAGTGGTAAGAAGCGTCTGTTACAGAGTGAATAGTTGTGAACAACTTACAGTTCGCGGGTTTATTGCAATATCAGAGTTACAGCATTTTCTTAGAGTGAAGAGTATTAAGAGTTGTTTGTCTGGTCTGAAACGGCGATAAGAGACTAAATACAGTAAAGCAAGTGCGCAATTATCGACGAGTAGATATTTACTGAGTGGAGTGTCGAGAAGTATAGCACATCCGGTCACGGTGGACAACATTTTGGAAATTCATGGTTGCAAACTCAATGTGACACTGCTCCTAGTTTATCACAGCGACTTAAATACTTTTACTTCTTACTTCCATGTAAGTCTGGAACGTCTTACAGAATAACTGCTTAGTAATCCTGCCCACAATTATGACACATCCATTTTGGATTTTTTTTTCATTTTTGCTTTTTCTCCAACATGCTACGAAGTATAAGTAGCTAGGATAAACATACTTTGAAGCGAATATCTCTCAGTTGCTTTTGGTTCTGCTTTATCGAAGTAGTAACTAAAGATTTTAGCCTTCATGATGCTGACCATGGATAGCAATTACCGATATATTCTCATCAGCAAATAAACTCATTTTGATGGCCAACAATAACTTTCAGTTCACTTTAGGCTCACTTTATTATTTATTACTGGAGTTAACACTATTGTTCAAACTATCTTTTCAACTTACCCCATGTAAGTATCAGATAACAAGTACAACACACTACTAAAGGATATTGATTTAAGCACTTCGGTTTGCTTCAGAGCTCACGATGAATTATTTTCAAGCAAAGGCTATGAAGGAGACATCCGCCATAGCTTTCTGTTCAACTTTATGATAAAAGTGCTTTATACATAACGTGTCAACAGTAGTTTGCTCAGAAATGCTCAGATTGACTCACAGTACGCCGATATAATTAAGTTGCGTGAAGACAGTGCTTCGAACGCATGGAATGAAAACAACATAGATTGTGTCCAGCAAACACAAATCCATACTCCAGAACTGGGCTGTACTGATACATTCTAATATGAAAGATCGGAGTTAACTGCCCTGAATAGATGAAAAGTTATATCAGCACTAGTGAAGTTGGTGATTGAGATTTGGATGTAAATACAAAACGTGGTTGCTTCTTAACAAACTGTACACCCAGGTCCAAAGAAGGGACATTAAAATGCTTATTAATAACCATAATAAAGACCTTTAAAGATTGTAGATGATCTGGTACGCCAAAAGAAACGATTTGTAGGTGTCCAGATGGCTAATAGTACTACTAGATAATAACGGTGATAATAGAGTTCATGAACTAGGCTACCTAATTAGACCGACAGTTCATTTTAAAAACATTCCAATACGTTAATTTCCTAAACAACTAGCACCAATAGTCACAAAAATCGTTCAAAATATAGATTTGTCAGTTACCACAAGTCGAAATTCCGGCTAAATGATCTATATAACGATGGTGAAAACAAGTAATTTTGATATAATAAGCCTTTATGGTAAAATATCAATCAATATGGCACTGGAGGTAGTCAGAAACTAACTCAGCGTTTACTCTCAGCGATAATGCACCAGTTGGAAAGATCAATTTTAGGTGTCGAGTTGCTTCTAACTTCTACATCCAGTTTATAGGAAGTTACCCAGCGCTGATTCAGTGATCAACGAAATCTTGAAATAGATAGAAAAGCCTCGATTGGTTTCTGCCAATTTATATCATTGTTAGTCAGTAAGGTATCCGACTGACTAATAAGCGCTGACTGTACTGCACAGTAGTTTGATCTACCCTATTATATGGTTGTCACCACTAAAAACGGAGGATATGAGAACACTCAATGTTCGACAGTTGTTACCTTAGAAGACACGTGTATTGGAACCAATACAAACAGAGCAGAGGTTACAAGTAGTCTTGAGTAAAAGAATTAAGTCAGTAGATGAGGTTATAAACCTTTACCAACTGATGCAGCTGAGGCACATATTAAGCACGCCTACTCAATCTACCTACAACGAGTTGTTAGGCTGTAATAATATTCGAGGATCAAGATGCGACATCAATTCATGAAGTCTCTGACTTGTTCTGAGCCATGTAGAGAAGTGCAAACTTCCACGTCAAGGTTCTCGCGACAACGAAATCGTTAGTGAGATACCTTAGAATCCATATCAGAGACACAGACATATCCACGTTATATCTTCTTGATCATCACACTGAATCTTGTTATTGTTTTGTCCCTTTTTCTGGTGATTTTCTATTACTTTTGAATAAGTTCTCACTATACTTTGCTTCTTGCTGTCCTAGATCTTACTGCGGTGGTGTTAAGCATTACGTTGATAGTGACCAACAGACAACAGGCCAAGGCCACGACTATGAAATAAATTAAAAATAATTGAAAAATTGTGCGCAGTCAGTCAACTAGTATCTCCATAAGACCCGGCGCCACTGAGTAACAGTCAAAGATGGAATAACTCATGTCACTTTATCAAAGCAGAAGGCACTAAGAAGAAATCAATCAAGAGTCTTACTAAGTCACAAAAGTGGGACAGGGGGTAAAACAAAAAAACGAATCTAGGTATGAAGATTAGGATGAAAATAACGCGTGAATGTATCTGCGCCAACGACATCGGTTCTCGGACATATCACCCAGTCTCTAACCAACAATTTCGTTTGCCAAGCTGAATGACACCAGAAAATCTACATTTCCTTACACGGTACAGACTAACATTCAAAGACTGTCATCATCAATATCAACATAGGACCAGGCATTACTGCGTAACGGTCTGAGTTGTCACACCTCATATCAGTATGCTGAGTGAAAAGGCAGTGAGGCGCAGGATGAAGATGAGAAAATCCAGTCAAAAGAAATATAAAGTACAAAAGAGAGAAAGGAAGAATGAGAAAATGGTGAGATTCGGTATAGCGTCGTTAAGATGAGGATAATGTATATATACATCTGCACCACTGACATCGGTTCTGAGCCATATCACCTAGAGTGTCCAACCACTGGTTCCTCTTGTCCCGCCGACCCCAACCACCTAGTCTGCATCGCCCCACATGGCTTAAAGTAACAGTCAAAGACTTCATACATTGGTGCCATGTTTTAGTCTGGCCACCTCGGGCCTTTTTCCAGCCTGCAACTACTTCAACCAACATTGTGTGAAGAGGCAATCGGTGACTAGGCATACGTAAAATGTCCCAACCATCTCAATCGATGAAGGTTCATAACTTCGTCAACTGATTTACCTCCACTCCCTAAAACTCTGCACCTGACTTCTGCATTACTCACATGGTGACACCACGGAATACAGCTTATACTATGAAGGCAAAGGCGGTCAAACACTTGAAGCCTTCTCATATCTTCCACCTTCGATGGCCATGTTTCACAGCCATACAGTAGAACAGACAGGACTCCTGTGCAGGTGCAGTACACATGACCCTTAATAGACAAACAAATATCACGGCGGCGCCATAGGTGGCGTAAATTGGCAAAAGCCAATAGAGCCTTTTGTATCCGTGCAGAGATTTCATCGGCCACTGAGCCACCATGAGTGATCCTACTTCCCAGGTAAGTGAAGTGGTTGACACAATCACTACACTCTATTATTAGCCGTGGCACCGCTGAAGACCAGTTCTGGAGCAAAAATTTGCATTTGGATGGTGAGAACTGCATCCCAAACATTCTCAAATTCCCACTCAAAGTGTTCAGAAGACTCTGCATCTTGTCAGCGTCTTCACCTAACAGGACTATGTCATCTGCATATTCTAGATCTAAAGAAAATTCACCTGTGATTGGGTCAACGTCTGTGTAATTAGGTGACGAGAGGGAGACCTCCATAAGAATATCTATGATAAAATTAAATAAGAATGGGGATAGTGGGCATCCTTGACGGAAACCACTCGATGAGCATAGCTCCCTAAACAACTCGCCATAGGCTCTAACATGCCCACAAGTGTTCGAGTAGAGACCTTTCAATAACGTGATGTACTTAATCGGCACACCTTTCAGTGACAGACATTATCACAAGACTTCTCGATCAACGGAGTCGAATGCCGCCTTCAGGTCGAGAAATACAGCTATTGTCGGGCATCCGTAAGAATGCCTAGGTTCCAAAACCTGGAGAAGTGTGAATATTTGGTCGATACACCTGCGACCAGGTCTAAAGCCTGCCTGGTTTTCTCAGGCTTGCTGTTTCCAAGCTTCAATCTGGCGTCGGAGAATTATAGAACCTAGGATCTTGGACACTATGTTGATCAGGCTGATTCCTCTGTGGTTATCACAAGAGAACTTCTCGCCTTCCTTGAAGACTTGGATAATCAGTGACTTAGACCAGTCAGAGGGGATCCTATCTGACTCCCAAATTGAAATAGTGGAGAATATTTGCAACTCAGGTGGATGGTCTTGGCTGTATTGTGTTCTCTGAGCTAGGTTGTATAATCGTGAAGTTTTCATCGTGTTTCTGGACTACATCATCAGCAGTAACTTCAGTATGAAGTGAGCTATTAATATCTCTCCGTGAGTGATTTAGTAGCTTGCCTTGACAAAGTGGTCTGTGATTGGTCGTTTCCTTTGATTGTTGTGTCATTGGCTGTATAGATTTTCCCGTTGGCTGTCCTTCTGCTTGACCTCTGACCTTTTTGCCGTTTACCATCTTTCTTATTGGTTGATAGATTGGGTCTATGTCCCATATACTG